GAAAAGGTACCTAGTCAGAGGCTTTCAAAGATTTTTTATGCACCCTTAATTATTCAATAACGAATATCTCATTAAAAGCGCAATACATTAGAATGTTCTTGAGATATAAACTAAACAACAACAATTATAAATCAAACCTCACAGAACTTTGTGCCTGACCTCTGTTGGAAGTTTCACCTATTCTCCAAAATCGCGTTTACAACTTAAAACCTGTGTACATCACTAGATGGCGTTGTAATCAATTAGAGTTTAAATAAAGAAATAAATAGATACAGGAGTCATACACACACATACACACACACATGCACATATATATACTATAACGTGGTCCAGACAAAAGTGAGAACCGCCATTTTTTCAATGTAGTGTCGTCTCTTTTTTCGTTATTGTTAGTGGATATATCCGTCTCACTCGCCCGTTGAATCGTCTAAGTTTAAAACGTGAAGATAGGTACAAACAGCAGCTCGTCAAACTAGCCCACGCTGTCAAAATTCTTTAATAGATTTTCAAATCTATAGCCTAACAAATAATGTTAAAAGTAGATTAAAATATTTGATGGATAAGGCAGTTTTAGGTGCTTGAGATTTATTGAATGTGCTCCTATGAATTGTGGTAACAGTCTATGATCTAAAGCATTGATAGCAAGCGTTACAGTGACTGGTATTGAAAAATTGCAGAATTGTCAACTTCTCAGGACATAATTGCTTTTAATAAATTATGTGAAATCTTTATGACGTCATATAAATTCATTCGCTACAATTCTTAAACACTACATTTAAAAATGTATAAAGACAATTCAAAACTGAACGACATTAAAAAAGAATGAGAATTTAAAATTAGCATCTCAAATTGATTGTCAATTTTCATTCAGAAAAATAACACTGGTCTGTTAGACACCGATGGAAAGAAGCCAGAAGTCTTCGAAATTTAAATTATTTAAAAAAAAAAATCTACTTCAATGAAGGAATCATTCACTTTAGCAGTTAAAACGTCACATATTGTATTGTAACTCTGTAAGGTCGTCGACCTCGGCAGTCCCTTGCAAAGGGTATATGGACAGTTAGCCACCAAAATCTCTGAACTTCACAACTTTATAATTGTTTATAACTAAACTATGTTAAACTTAAGCCTCTATGAAATTATTTCTATACATCTCCTTGTCTTTTATTCCCTGAAGGAGTAGTATGAGGTTATCCTTAAGTTCACGGAGTTTAGGTATTCGCTAGAGAAATGTAGTCAGTAAAATGCTTGAGGTATTCCACCTGGAAATATCGTCTTAGAACCAGTTCTATATTGTAATCTAATTAACGGAGATTTTGAACAAATCTTAGAATTATATTATTAACTGTTAGATATATTCAAACATTTACTTTTATTTTTTTTAAGTAGGGAAAGTCATCGAATGACTGCTCCCGCCCGGATGAGGCGAGAGGGAGTGTCAGACTCTTACTGACTAAAAATCACCGTGTTCCTACTCTTGCACTTCGAGCCGGAGCCCCGGCAACCCTTTAGGTTAGGTTAGATTTTCCGACATTGAATCAGTCTTTATGAACACTTATTATTGTGAATACATAGAATTTCAGTTATTATGTTAACAGCGAGCATTATGAAAATGGAAAAATTCATGAAATTCAAGTCGAAATCGACAAGCCTTTAGAAACTTTTCATTAATTTAAAGTCATAACAAAATATTCACACATATTTTTATTGCTAACTGTACTAAGAAACTAAATAGCCATATTATTATTATGATCTTACCATAGACTATGACAGGCCTAATTGTATGTTAATAAGTTGTCAATGTAAGTTAATTAATATTATTGTATAGTAGTGTATAGTCCTTATAAGTGGCGACAGGGTGATTGATATGGTTGTAATATTTCTAATTATTGAGATTTAAACAAAGGTATATTGATTCCTTAGTATTGTAATTAAGAGACGGGCTATAATTGTAGCAGTTTAATTAACAGCTTGACTGTTTTTGTGAACAATGATTTCTAAAGTAGACAATAAAGACTTTGTTTATTAAGCGTAGCTCCCATATAATTATGAGGACTTTCTTCTGTGTTCTGAGTGTATTTACTAACATAAAAACATACTGCCTTACAACGTACTTCTTACAAGCATACTGCGAGCAAGGTAACATCACGGGTTTTATCCTCGAAGGGCAGAGGTATACATTACGGCACTTAATGCCACTGTACAATGTAACACCCACTTTTCACTATTTATGTTGTCCCATGTAATAGTCCCATGTAATAGTCACCCCCTATTGTCATATACCGAGCACAGTTCCAGACTCCGTGCTACTACTAAGATTTATTTTTTTTAAAACCCAGTACCTAATACATTGCCCGATCCGGGATTAGAACCCGAGACCCTTTGCCCGGCAGTCGCACTTGCTACCACTCGGCCTAGGAGGCAGTCTCAAACATTTAGTACATAATGTAATACGTTAGTATCTATGTAGATAAAGATATAACGATCCCTTCAAAACAATAGCCTTAACTTAAGTAGCAAGTTCAACGCAATTGTAAAACATATGACAATAGTTGTGTAATTAGATCTCTGTACAGAATAATTGTGGTGAGGACCCACCATCTTAGTTTACAACCGCGGGGATTAATGTTACATAAAATGTGCGTAGTTTGTCTTCACATTGTAGGTACTAGGCGACCAGAAACATTCATTGGTAACCTTTATCAGTTTAGATCTATAGATAATAATGAGACTGTCTGCTGTACTCAACAACATGCTTAAACTATTGCTTAGTAATGATTTTGTTCCGAAAACAAAGACTGAATAATAATAATTAATAATAATTCTTTATTTGCTCAATGTGGTACATGATATAGATGTTACATACAATATATTTAGATCAGCACATTTACCATTATTGGCATGCAAATTGGTTACATTTAATCTTTATTTTAGATTAAAATAAAATATATGTAAGCTATAATTTTGGTACATAAACTACACTTACTGCTCTTATTTATTTCTTTCTTTAAAACTAAAAGATTTACATTTGTTTTTTTCTAGAAATTCGTGGATTGAGTAGTAATTTTCTTTAATTAGCCATTGCTTTAATACATTACAAAATTTCTTATACGGAAGTTCAGTTATAGATTTAGGCAACGTATTATAAATTAAATTGGATGTAAATAATCCTTAAATTACTTTGAGTAGGTAATGATTCAAAACATAGTTAATATTAAAAATTAACCAGCGTCTTCACCTGTATGAAATTAAAAAGATTTGATTCCAGTAAGTGCTAATTTTACTCCAGCAGAGTCGTGGTGGCCTCAAGGTTTAAGACGCATGCATCTCATTCATGGAGGGTGCGCGTTCAAAACCTACTAACAGCAAGTACAAATGTGACTTTACCAAATTATATGTTCTTTCTAAGATTATCTAGACACCACTGACAAACGGTGAAGGAAAACATCGGGAGGAAACTTAAGCTTAAAAGTTCTAATCATAAGTTTCAAATTGTCATTCCGGTAGCATGGCGTTTAATGCTCAAACCTTCTCCGTGGTTTTTGGTCAGCAGTGGCCACTTTATAGGCTGTTGATTATGTTAAAGTGCTAATTTAGATTGTAAGCACCCACTCGCTGAATGCAAGAAGCCAACCAGCATATCTGGAAGTCAATGGGACAGGCCTACGTGAGACAGTAGGCGTCTCATTGCTGATACAAAGGTGACAATGAAGTGATCTTGTAAGAATATAGATACAAAAGTAGTCTATGTTTATCTTAGAATAGTAAACTTTTCAATAATGAAAGTGAATTTTAAATTGTTCTGAAAGTTTCAGAGCCTATTCAGTGTAAACAAACATGTATTTTTTCCTCTTTATGGTAGTTAATGTTATTCCTCAAAGTATTATTACGTACATAGGTATGTCACAATTCAAAGAATTTTCATTATTCACGTAATTTGTTGCATTTTTTGAGGAAAATGTTAAATAGATAACTTAAATCCGCCATTGTGAATCTGACTTCTTATGCTGCACTGCTGCGCAAAGAGATGCGCGTGGTTTAGATTCTCACACGGAACAATTCTTTGTGTAATCCACGAAATGTATTTGTCTTACTTCTTAAGAGTGTTGTGTGTGTTTGTCCTATCAGTTTTAGAGTATTTTAGACTTCAGTATTTTAAAGTCACCAAATACAAAGACTTAGTAATAATTTGTGCCATCTAAGCATCACAATGTAACCACGTGGTGCAGTTTATTAACCTTACGACCGAGTAGTAAGGATTTAATTTTCCTTACATTAGTATTACAATAATACAAAGCTAGATACTTATATAATTCTCGCTCATTCCTATTCTCCTGGTAGCTATAAATCACGACGTGCTTTACAGCAAAACTTTGCAGCATTTCAAAAGCATTCAACAAGTGCGAAATCAGTTTTCAATCCTTTACAAGAAGCTTTAGTGAAAGAACTTTCTAGAATTTCAACGCCATTGTAACAATGTTTGTATGTATATGAGATACAGATATATGTTATGTAAGTGCCTCAGCATCCTATTTTTAGGGCTCCCGGCAGGTGAAATAGAGCTAGAAAATCGGTTATACCTGTCTAGTAATCAATACCTTGAAGGACACGGTTGTTGCACTGCTTGTAATGGAAAAAATATTAAATCAAAACGTTAACATACATACACACTTTCATTATTAATGGCCCAATTAAGCTTCTCTACGTACTAATATTCAAGAAATCGCTTTCACAAATTTTTTATAAATAGTCAAGACGGCGCAAATTAAAAATTTAAATTGATTACAAACAAATGTTTTGATTTTGGTCATGAAACGTAACGCACGAAAAGGGTGGAGATGCAAGTGGGAGACGGCGCGATTCGCGCATGCGCTATCCCGCGGGAATGCAATATTGTGTTATCAGTGTGCTATAAATCACGAAGACGGATGTCCGCCACCGCGCGCTTTAAGTTTAATATTCGGACGCGTTTGAATCACTTCAAACGAAGAATTAAAAAAATGGCGTCCAGATTCATTCAAGACCTCAGCATAGATACGGGTACCATCGCCAACATCATAGATTATCCACGGAATGGTTTGAAGGTCAGTCTGAGTGCCACGGATTATGAAACCGAGAGAGTCCGCAAGGAAGCTCAAGAGCCGAAGAAAAGTGAATTCAAGGAAGATAATGAAGATGTTCCCCATGGTGATGAAAAAGATACTGGTGATATTGGTGACATCAGTGGTGATGGTGATGGTGATGGTAAAGTGGAGAATAGTGATGATGCCGAGGAAACTGCAGCAGCCAAGAGCAGTGATGACCCTATGGAGGGTGATACAATTAAGAAAAGTGAGGGTCCTGAAGAGGTCACGGCAAGTGTAACCAAGAAAGCTGATGAACTGGAAGGCGTTCAACTTCAAGGTGAAGAAATCAAAGGAGGTGATGTTACTGGAGCAAATGATGAAGCAGATGAAGGTGTTGAAGTTGAGGAAGCAGAGGTTGGTGATGAACCCAACGAAGGTGATGACCCCATGGGAGATGATGATGAGGTTAGTGACGAATCGGAAGATGATCAATCAGAGGGAAGTGACGAAAGTGATTACGATGACGATACCGATGACGATGAAGCTCTGGAAGGTGTTGCAGCTAACGCAAGTGAACAAGTTGATGGAATTGAACTGGCCAACATTGGTCTAAAAGGCAGGGAGGAAAGCGATGAAGAAGAAAGTGATACTGATCAGGATAGTGATTTTGAAGAGGAGCAACCCAAGGCCAGTAAGGGATTCATCAGGGTAATGACCCTCAGCCAATCATTTGGAGTAATCATTCAAGGTTCTGGAGCTACATTGTCTCCACAAACTAAGAGGAAGGCTAGGTCAGGCAAATACATAATGATTCAACTGAAGAACGAACCAGATATACCTAAACACAGCAACGTGGTCATCGAGCTGCAGCCAGACGTCTGCGAACTCTTCGGTAAGGATGCTTACGATTCAATGGAGAAGGGAGACTGGACGAAAATGATTCAAGTTGCTAAGAAGAACGGATATCCGTACCCTGAGGTACTGAACAAGATGCGGGCCAGCCTGGGTAAGGCTCCCATCAAGATAAAGCCGAGAAATTAAAGACAACAGAAGAATAAGTGACATTCAGTGCTTAAACACCCAAAATAAATAAACATCAAAACAAAAATATCGACAAATTCCTATAAAAATACTTTTTAATCCTTGTTTCGCAGAACTAAAGGTTAACGCACAGCGGAATGTCGCTTAGGTCAAAAATAATTTCAAATATTATCGCTTGATTGTAGAGTAGATGTTCTAATTGTCTGTATCCAATGTAATCGCATTTGTGTCTATTTAAAATTAATAAAGGCTTCGTAGTAACCAGATAAAAATATAAGTGTTATGATTTCGCACGCATAGTGAACAAACAGTGTTAAAATTACATTCCTTTATAGACATTCGCAGATTTTTGTCTGTTTTTGGAAACACTTCCAATTAATATCATAAAGATCGCCCACTGAGTTATAGGGGCATACACACACATATAGCTTTTATAGACAGACATGAATACCTCCGCCAGACAGATCAATCGCTCAGAGGGCGCTACTAACACAGAAACACAAAGTACCAAACTTCACTATAACAAGTTAACGTCCTAACCAAAATGAACCTTAACTTCATCAGAAAAATAGAGTCTATATTTCAACGCAATATTCAAATTCAAATTTTTGACAATGAAAATTCGACTTTAAAATTGCAGTTTTACAGTGGTTTGTTGAGTGTGGTAAGTATTGAACTGCATTCCTGTTCTCTGAGTGAAGGAGACCGGACCTGAAAGGTGGGACGCGAGGAAATGATACACGATGACCACTCTGTGGTCTGCAGCTATTGTGGTGTAAGTAAGAGTAAGTATAAATTTACAGTAAAAGTTTATTTAATTCGGCGGTTTTGTTCTTTTACAAAATTAGGGAAAACCTTACCAAAGGTTACTCTAGAGAATTTCAAACTCGAAAAAAGCAATACTTTGACTTCAACCGCAGTTCAGATAGAAATACCGAGCGCAGGCATAATTTTAAACATCACAGAGAATTGTGAAATTAAAAATCAATACGTTGATGTCCACCGGGATCTAGGTTACCCACGATTCTAGAATAGAAAATTTAAAATCAAAGTTAAATAATCTATTAACACTGACTCAACAATTCTAGTTAGTATTTATAGCTTATAAGTCTAGCTTTTGACCCTTTTAACATCCTAAACGCCATGGGGGGGTCACTTTTGACCGACATTATCGGAGAATTTTCTTTAAAAGTTTTCTATTCGCAGTCAAAGGTACCTATAACTAAACTACTTCTATAATTATATATATACACTGTACACTGTGATTTCAAGCATTGCAGCTATCTCAATGAGCCTAATAAACTGCAGTATTGACATAAAAGGGCTAGATTATATTGTTTCATACACACTCTGGCCTTTCATACTCATGATTCGATCGGTCAGCCGCCATGACCGACGTGAGGTTAAGCGTAGGTAGCCTTTCTTGGACGGGGGTGAAACACCTTCAAACTTCCCGGTCTAATCATCAGTCTATTAGTAATCTTTGGACAAAATAACTCATTGGGAGTTTTTCAATACAAAAATAGATCGATATATACGTCATGGAATCTTCGTTACCGTCATGTTGGCCCTTTGTTTATATTATTGATCGACGCTTGCTTGTCCAAAATGGAACATAACAGGGCCTTAACTTGTTAATATAATTTAGTATTTGATCCCATCAGAATATTCTTTTGTCCTCCATTAGAAATGCCTTAATATCGATGTTTGTCTCAAAATGGTACTTCTAAAGCACAATTTTTCAGTTTAAAGTATTTTAAAACGTAAAGAACTCATCTTTACTTAGAAAACTTAAATAAAGATTATTTATTTGGGACATTACTAGTTCGTTCGTAAAAGTACACTCATGTCATCTACCTTTTTTAAAATGACTGATTTCGTTTAGCAGTACTAATCATTCACATTTAGTTGAGCAAATATGTTTTCTTTAATAATATCACACTATTTTCTCGTAAAATTAGTCACTAGACAAAAATGTCAGCTGACAAAATCTTTTGTTTTTTTCATTCATTCATACTGGCTGATGCTAAAATCGCTGTGGACTCGAGCCCTCACAGCGAGAGCTACAGCGTTAAGCTGAGCTCCGGTCTTTTGCGCTGCGACGCACCATGAACTTCTGTATATACTTGTATTGTTGTCTGTATATGTGTCGTGGCGTAATAAACTGATTTTCTTTCTTTTTTATCATTGATTGTATTAAGGAAGCAGGAAAATTCTGTCTTACAATAATTTCAAATCAGTCAAATACATTTAATTTATTAATAACTCGCAAAAAAATGTTTATTTTTTTAAATGTTTTAGGCTCTTATAGAAATAAGACTTTAATTTCTTCAGTCTTTCATACCTTAATAATCGACTACAAAATCAATTTATCTTACTGGCAACAATAATCTGCCGAACTTTTTTTTAAATCTGGCAACGATATGTAGTCGTTTCGATGACAGGCGCCATGTCCGCCATCTTGGGAACGCACTTGATCAAACGGGATGATTGATTTGTTGGTTATAAATGCTTACTGTTTAAGATTCTAATAAGTGGAAGTTATGAGATATTTTATATAAATAACAATTGAATAGAACAATAACTTTTTGTTCAAAATACCTTGTGATTGACAAGATATTTAACATGTTTTATTTGCCTCAAAAATATCTAATAAAGGAGAACTCTTTTGCTTACCTCGTGGAACTAATGTTATGTTACATATTATTTAATTTAATATCTAAATCTAAAAATAACAATTCACACAAAACAGAAATAGAATTAAATATAATATTATTGTTACGTAAATTCCTTTAATGAACATTGTCATCAGTCATAATTCACGTAATATTATTGAATAGTAGCATAAAACCATAATTTATTTCCCATTACAATTAATTTATTGAAGTTTCTGCGTCACAGACTAAGATGAGAACTTTGTAGTTCTAGTAAAATGACCTCATATGCACACATTGACAAACTATTCTTAATGGCTTCGTCGTGCTATTACAAAGAATTCACAATTATGGTACCTATATAAATGCTCAAATATTGTTAGCTGACTGCCGCGTTGGCCGAGTGGTCGCAAGTATATATAAATATTGTTAGCATTTCGTTAAAGACATGCAGATTTGTGCTTTTATGTAACGCGTGTGGCCCTTAAGAGTTAAGCTAAGCGTCTCAAGGTCCGTTCTTGGATGGGTGACCATTTTTACTATATTTTTGCTGTACAGGACAAACACTGAAAGAAGTAGGTACGTTAAGGACACGCGGTCAGGCAATGCTTTTATACATTTTGTGTAAGGCCATCAAAAGCTACGAGTGTCGAGGTCTGGTCGTGGATAGGTGGCCATTTTTTTATATATTTTCTGTATAATACATGTGATAATAAATACGCACTATACCAAATCTTCTGATATACCTGAAATTTGTTATTGTAGCTCTTAATGTGGGAAAAAGTTTCCCATTTCATCGATTTAAACATATTCCTGCCTACCTTGACACCTAAATTAGGAAGCTATAAAAATAACTAGTGTATGTACCTACTAAAACTTTTTCCTATAGGATAAAAATACTTCATTTAACTGCTACAATGTTTAGGTACTTATTTTTAAACATAAACACTAAGAAATAATTAATTTGCATCGCTAATTCTAAAAGTCGGTAATGACCTGTAAATCTACGTAAAATCGGTCTTATTTTTACCGATGACCACTTTTACTGACTTTTACAACTTTTCAGAGTTTACGCAGCTGCTAGTTATAGTACTTCAGAGGCCGTGAATCTTTTAGGTAACTGAAGAAATGAAGTCATAGTTGTATATCTACAAAATATCAATATTTTTCATTACAAAAAAGTAAAAAAAGGCAGCTGGCTATGATTTACAAATGGGATGATGACAGGACATGAAAATTAAAAATATAATTAGTCCGTAAGTTGGGTAATAAAAAAATATTAGACACGTATTTTTTTATTTTGTCGTATAATAAAACAATACTTAGATAAAACGAATCAATGTTTAGGAGTGGGGACTAAAACGTCACTTCTACGTATAAAATGTACATAGAAGTGACGTCACGCGGCATTTCAAATCAATATATCGTCGAAAATATGCGTTTCTGTAAGAAAATAAAAATACGTGTCTAATGATTTAAAACAATCTACCAGATGGACATTAAAATAAAAATTATGCATCTACCCTATTATAACATTTCATTATTTTATGATAAGAATTATTTGTAGTAAGAGCCTTTTAAAACATCAGATTCACTAATAATGAATTATGTACTATTGCAAACAACTATAAAACATATATATTATGTGCCCAAGGACGTTGAAAATAAGTTGGACATATTGTCACTTAGAAATGATTAAAGCACCAAAATATTAAGTGTGGGAGAGCCATGCTTCGCCACGAATGGGCCGGCCCGACCGCAGTGATGATACCACAGCCTCACACAACGCTTGCGTTGTGTTTCATCGTGTAAGTGAGGTTACCGGAGGCCCAATTACCCTCCCCTTCCCCAATCTCCCCAATCCCTGAATCCCCAATCCCTGAATCCCCAACGATCCTCAAACTCCTAATCCCCAAAAAGACGGTAACGCACTTTTAACGCCTCTGGTGTTCCAGGTGTCCATGGGCTACGCCAATTGCTTACCATCAGATGATCCGTCTGCTCGTTTAGGGGCTTATGCTATAAAAAAATGTCAGTGGCTTTTTTATGTGTGCGTGTGTAATGCGTTACCACGTTACCAGACTTAAGAGAATGACAGATGTCCTTCATGTCAATGTGTGTATGATCTGCGTGTAAGTCTATGGTAGCCAGGTGCTACAGTTGTGGTTTGAAGAGACTGTGTCCACCTTTCTTTAACGTCCTTGTACGTACCATTTATAGTTATGCAAACGAAAAAGTTTTCCATCTCTGAAACTATTTTTCGATCAAGCCAAAACTTGTTGAGGTAATGAATCATTGTATCTACTTTCTGAAAGATTTATTAAGGAAGCATATATAACAATATTA